GAGGTTACTAGACTTCGGTATTCTTTTATATATAAGACGGTCAAGACGTGACGGCAACAATGTAATGTGTAATTGACAGCTGAGTCGAGCACGTAAGACGTTTGTTGTGAATTATAGCGTTTGTTATAGCGCGACGTGGAAATTAAGTGTATCGAAAAGTTGCATTCAGAAAGAATAAACCAGTTTTATTTAAGAAAGGACTTGTATCGGTAAAGTTTCTTCGGAAATAATTTTTACGGAAAATTAACTAACGAACGGAAGCGTAACATAATTGTTGGGTGCATGAAAAAACTCACTCGTAGAATGTTTGATTAAGTACTGGAATGATAAAGTTGAAATTTAAAATTTGATTATTAAAGGCAATAAGTATAAAGTGTGGAAAAACAAATTTTGCTTTGTTTTCCGGCAAAAACTATTGTAGTAGTATGTACTTGGGAATGGTTTTTCCTTTTGATGTAGTAATTTAAGCAAAATATGTCTAAGCTAGCCAAAATTGGTGGTTTTGTTTGTTTAGTTGAAGAGTGAAGAAGTGATCTCAACTAATGGACTAGCTGTGACATGCAATCATATAATAGGTTTTCTGCCTGCTTTAATTAATATAGAAATTATTATTTTTTCTCTGAGTTCATTTTAATGCAGATTTGGTATAAACACGTGGTCTAAAACTGTTAAAGTTGTCTTGTTCGAAAGACCTTTATGTCTTTTGTTCTCTATAGTAATAATATCTACTCTGGCCAAAGAATATTGCAATAAATTTGTGTTAAAAGGGTCCATGACTTCAACGTCCTTTGTTGGCTTAGTGGATAATATCTGTACGTTACAGATAACAAACACTGAGAGACAGCAATTAATCCATTCTCTAAGCAAGTATTCGGTCCGGCATGGCCAGGTGGTTACGGCGCTCGACTCGCAATCTGAGGGTCGCGGGTTCGAATCCCTGTCACACCAAACATGCTCGCCCTTTCAAAGAGGGAAGGCTGTCAAGTGGGTTGCATCCTTGACGTAAGAAACAGCTTTAGAAACGATGGCAGAGCAAGATCTATCAACGGTCCGCAAGTACTATGAGAAATGAAAAAAAAAATCAAGTATTCATGCTATTTTCGTTTTTATGTCATAAATAAAGTTGTTTTCACTTTTCTTCACATGTGTTCAGTCTGTTTATTTCTCACACATCTTAAAACTCGATTAAGTTTTCGAATTCAGGTTACTCTCAAATTTTCTGCTTGACCCTGTCATTATTAAGTGGACATGTCAAACATTTATGTGGAAAGGATTTCACCCGAGAGTACCACGCATACTAAATTCTGCAATCAAATAAATAAAAAAAAACAATTCTATCCAGAATTCTTCACTTAATAACCCAATACCTTACTAACTTGACAAATAGCAATAACTAATTTCATATTCATTACCCTGAACGTTGCAGTATCTTTCAGCTTTACACACACACAAAAATTAGGTTCAGTACGGTTCAATTCGTTTGGAGTGTGAGCAGTGTGAACAACAAAGTTTGATTGTCAACGAAACCAAACTGAATACACCAGAAGAGGCAATCTCGATTCATTTGGTAAAAAAAAAAAATAAAGTTTTTTTTTGTTTCTTTAAAAGTTTAGTTTGAACATTGCAAAGTTTTAATGAGTGCTGACGAAAGACGGAGGTGAACTATGAAATCAAACTGTAGTTCATTTCAAAACGAATTCGAAACATTTCTATAGAAGGCAAATGTGAACAACTAGCACATTCATCAAAGCAAATGAACTGAAATTAGTCTTTTTTAAACGAACCCAATGTGAATACTGCCTAACTCTATAAAGTTGAACAATACGATTTTGTTTAATAAGTAGATATCTTTCCAGCTCAATGGCCGCAACACATACTCTTCATTTAGCCCAGAAAAAAAACAAAAAACACTAGATGGGAGTCAATGGAATGTACCAGACTGAAAAATGAAATGCCATCATCTCATATTCAATAATAATAATAAATATAAATCGGCAAGTCTAATGGGAAAGATCAACAAACAAAAAATAATTTTAATTTGCATAAATGCAGGCCAGTAGCGTGCAGAGGGGCGAAAGGTGCCGGGGCCCCGGGCACCCATATCGGGAGGGCATCCAACGCAAAGAGTCGAATCGAATAGTAGAACCCTTTCCGCCCTTCCCCAAGGTCTTAGGTACAAGGCTCCGGGCATCATAGAACCTCTTCACGCCACTGATGCAGACAGTTATTCGTTTAATAACGTTTCGGAATAAGATACTTTACTTCTGAAGTTAATTGTCAATAAAGCTACTTAGATATATTCAATCTTGGAATATTACTGGGTTCACTGATCTTACTTATAGTTAAAAACACTAACAGCAACTGAAAGGAGAAGCTGCGAAAAATGTATCATGAAGATGAACTAAATCGATTCTCTGAAAATGAATGATTTACCCAGATTCTGATCTTTTCACATGTGACTTCAATAGAGTACTATATGATTTTTAAACAACATAGTTCCCAACTGATATCTTCCGTGAGATTTATCTAAACAACAACTTTGAAAAGTGACCTATGACAATGAGTAATTATAGCACAAACAAATTACCCATACATTAAAACTAAACCTGTATATTTGCCCATAAATTTCGAATATTTTTTCAGGTTCACCTATCTTAGCTAGAAAGGAAAAGAAACGCCTACTATGTTTCACATATTACAGTCTTACAGACCGTTAACAATATTCTATCAACTGTGATACTATGGTTAAAGTTGTTAACGAACACTTTACGTTATGTTTGCCTAAGCACAGATATTATCTGTCCAAAATCTTATCATATTCTTAAATGTGCTACTTTATGGCATTCTTTGTTAAGGAATATAAGGCATAGAGGTAAATCGCCAATGTACAACAAGAGATTCTAGGAGTTGGTAGATTGAATGTTGTGTGTGAATAAGTGGACAAGAAAATAGACAGAAGAGTTTGACGAACACAATTAACTTGTATCTAAACCTTCCTGTCATCTCATCCTGCAGAAAGGCCAACTATATGTGTACATTTAGTGTAGTGAACTTGGCTTAAAATGTAACTGAAGTTAAACTGAATCAAAACAGAAACAAAGTAAACTGGGAGTAGTCTGGTTGAAACTTAAGAGAGGAAAAAATGTAAGGTTAAGAGTCAGGCTGAATTGTAGGAAAACACCTAACTTCTCGTGTCAGGTTTTTTCATTCCAGTTCCAACAAAAAAGCAAGCGAGAGAAAGTCCAGAAAAACCGAATAGAACTTAATGCGACAGATGAGTTAAATCGCCAGGTCAGAGACCACAAGGTTCAGGCATACATATTTCCAATCCATTTAGAACCCTTAACGAGAAAAATGGATATAGCGAGCCTGAACCCTGTACTTTCTGTTCGCAGCCTGGCGCACATTTACCACTTGGCTACTCTCGGCTTGTGCAAGGCTGAGAAAATTATTTTTCATTTGCGGTATTATGGGAATTTATTGTAAAGAGAAGAAATCCATTGTATGCCTAAAATACATAGCTTTTTGAGTGGATTACTTTATTTTCTGAACTCCATAACAACGTTTCGACCACTGTAGTGGCCATTACCTCATTATGGTCACTAGAGTGGTCGAAACGTTGTTATGAAGTTCAAAAAATATTGTAATCCACTCAAAAAGCTCCATTTCCGGACTTTTATTATGGTAATTGTTTGAGATGGTTTCTTGCAATTACGAGCGTTCTTTTGATCACTAACCGTTACATAACTAACTTCAAGTTTTGAAGATAGAAGCTCGTGGCTTTAATTAAAATAAAAAACATGTGGACTGGAAAACCTGACGGTATATCTAGAATTTCCGATTTATAGAAACTATTGCTGTAAAAAAAAAGTTTTTAGTTCAGCCACTTTAAACAACCCAGTTTAAATTCAATCTGATTATCATTCATAGCCATTAACTGTTATTAACAGTGTTAAATATGAGGTTAAACAATTATGTTTAAAAAATTATACGATAAATTTAATGATTTAATATTTTTTGATAAAAACTAAGAAACTGCGAACAAGATTACGGTTCTACCGGCTTACTTTCAATATGGCCAGAATATTTGTAGATTGGATTGACGAGTCGTGGTTATGCTATAATATTTTTCTCACTTTCTGACGCTCGTGTGGATTATTTTTTCAAAAATGGTTAAAGAAAAACCTAATTCCACAAGAACCTATGATGGGGAAGGTTTTCGAAGGCGTGCTGCCTGTTTATGTGTAAAAAACGAAGACGAAAATGAGGTAAGAATTCGTAAATAATAAATTTCAACTTCAAGTAGACCTCCCTCAGTTTCTGTGGTAGTACTATACCTATCTAATACTCAGTATTAATAATAGTACTGTTCTGTAGGAGTAGTTTTAGTATTATTATTAGTAGCAGTAACACCAAAATATTATAACAATGGCTGACTAACCCAGAACTTACAGGACTAGGCTAAGTTACTTCTAACTTCTAAGTTACTTCATTATTTAAAAATTCAGATAAGTTTTATATTATAATTAGTATAAATTATAATCGTTATATCCACCGACTTTACGATGTATGACTGTTAGTGATACGTATTATGATATATTAATATTACTGGAGCTAATAAAATAATACTCATTACTGAATGGAAGTTAATTGCTATATTATTAGTATATATGAAATATAATATAATATAGCTCATCAGACTGACTAGAACACAATAAGTACAGTAGTGGTCAGAACACAATTTTACTCCACCAGATGAAGGGGTGGGGGCAAAGACTCATGATTTTTGAAAAGGTCTGGATCCCTAGAGATGGAAAATTGATGACAGCAGTGCATAACTTTTCCCTTCTCTGTGTTATCACCATGTTTTCAGCCACACCCCTGAATTTTTATCAATCTTCTATAAAATCTTTATTGGTTAAGTCATGATATTGAAAGAGATAAGCTAGCCAAGCATCTGTATTTACCAGTGCAACAAACAGCATTCAGTAATCTTCACTGGTTTCCCATTGGCAACTTCTTCAGTCTCTTTTTGTCTTAATACATAATTTGTAAGTACTCATTTTTATTCAAATATTAGTTGACAGTTTATTTTAATGCCATTTGTACTGTCGTCTCATCTTTTTATAACTTTTCTGCTGAAGGAGGGGATTTAGGATTATCAAAAGGATTTCTGTGGGTTTATATATAATCTGTCAATTTTTTCTTTTTAACAGGAAATTTGTTCAGAATGACTTGCATAAAGAATGCTAATCAGCAATTCTTGAAGGACTTGTATTTTAGCTCAGAAATGAAAATAAGAACTGGAAAAGAAGGAGCAATTAGAAAAAGAACAAGCAATTTATTAATATATTTTTTGCAGATTAAACTGTTTCTGAAAATATATTACAAAGAAGAAAAAAACAAATTGAATGAGTAGCAATGTGTGATACAATATCTTAGAAAACTTAATCATCATCATCTGGCTCTTCTTTAGATGGACTGTCATCATTTTCTACTCCTGAAGCTGCTTGCCAAACACACGCATTTTGGCAGTTTGCAACTCCTGTTACAGTCACAGTCCAGTAGATACAGCATAGCCTGAGGTGGCAGCTGTCCTTCCATCCTATATACTGGGTGCTGTGCTTCGTTTTTTCCAGGTATCCCTGGGTCCTTCTCCAGACACCACCTCCATATTTCAGCCTGGAAATTGGCCCATTGGGTATGTTTCTTTAAACAGTCTCAGCAGGGACAGTTGATGACTCTCAGTCTCACCTTTCTTTTCACAGAGAGGTAATATCTCAAAGCATTTACTTTCAATGTAGCAGACTTGGCTGCATAAAGATGGCAGTTAAACTTCTCCAATTTGTCCATCAGCTCCTCAGACAGATCCCTTTTGTCCACCAACTATGAGAAGGCTTTCTGTTGACACTCAGGATTTTGAGGGTATTTATTTTCCTCTGCCTGCAAATGCGCTGACTGTGTCACATCCCATATAGGCATATATGCCCATGTGGGCTTGCCAAACATTTGTGCTAACAGCAGCTTTTATTTTCAGCAATGTCAAGGATTCTTGTGCATACTTTAGTGCCACATTTCTTGTCCCTTTGCCAGTCATTGTTGTCCCACACTAAATTAGTGTAAACATAAGGTTGAATGTTGGAAGGAAGAACAATTGGCTGATTCCTGGTAACTGTAAGTTTCTGGAGACACAAAGCTGCGCCACTTTGATATCTTCTTCCAGCTGTGAATATGAAACTCCATGTACTAGTTTATTCAATGCACTTAGAACTTCTTTTTAAAGGAGTTGAGATATTTAGGTTAACTTTTAGCTTTTTTTTTTTGTAAAAACTAGTGTTTGGAAATTTAATTTAAGGTAAAATAGAGGCTGCCAATTATTGACTTGGTTGTTAATTTTAATAACCCTGACATGACCTATAAAGATTTTATAGGAGATCGATATAAAGATGCTACATCACAATTGAAGAGATCTAGCTACTGCAAATTTTGGGGTTAAGATTGAAAATGGAGTTAAAACACAGAGAAGGCAAAGAGTTATACACTGCTATCACTTATTTTTCCATATCTAGAGATCCAGACCTTGCCAAAAATCATAATGAGTCTGTCCCCCAAAGCAGTACCAATGGCAAAAATTTGTGGTTTTGGCTCGTGGTCTTCCTATACAAGTCATTTGTTACAACAACAATTAATCATACTTGTCATATGACATCAGCATTAGGCCTATTATATTTTTTAACACTGCATTCTTTATATAGTCTCTGCATTTGAGCTTTCACCAAAGACATTAACTTATTTTAACATTTTAAATTATACTTTCTTTGAAAACTATAATCATGTTTCTGAAACTCAGCAAATTGTTAGATGTCTCATGAGTGTCATAAAATGAAATTTAACATGTTTATGCACAGCACAATTTATGTACTTTTGTGCACCAAATCAAAGTGTTTGAAATGTTTTAGATGAAACAGAAGAGATAGTAACAATGTTGGTAAGCATGATCCAGAATCAGCAGTATTATCACTTGTATTTTTTTGGAAGTTGTCTTGCTGACTATTGTAGTAGCATAGAAATAATTACTTTTGCACTTGGTGAGAAGACTGAAGCACACAAATCTTGAGATTATAAAGAAATGTTCCACATTTGTTTTCATGGGGAAAGAAAATTAAATATTTTTCTTTCATCCTTATGCAACATAAGAGATCACATTCCTCTGTGTTAAAATACTTTTCTTACAAGATGACTTCTTATATACAAGGAGTTTGATAAATCAGCATTTTAGTCCTATATTATTAAAATGCAAACTAATTCATTATAGTTTTAATAAGTTTAATTCAGATTTCATAATTTTATATATCTAGGCTTATTATTACTGTAAATACAGTTATGCCTAAAGTGAAAGGATTAGTTCCAGCAATGCATATACTGTACATGCTTCCACATTTTGTTTGTTAGCTTTCATGAGTGGTAATTGCTTTAACAATAGTTAATATTTAATGTAAAATATAGGTCTTAGTATTTTATTATGATATTATTGTAAACTTTATTTTATAACATATAATATCTCATATAATGTTTGATGTTAATTAATTAAAGGCAAAATTTTGAATTCCAATACAATGATTCACATCCATACACAGATTACTTATTTCGTTCTTGAAGTCATATTGCTTGAAAGACTTGTATGCCACCAGCCTTACAAAACTCCCATCTAAAATTCATGTGAAATTGTGCTACTGCATGATGGCATATTGTGCAGCAAACCCTCCACTAATAGGAATGTGACACACCTCTTGGAACAAGTGTTTCCTCTACATTCATTAATGAAAATCCTCATTCTTTTCCTTGGCACAGTTCTGCTAAGACAGGTTTATTTGTGCAGAGATTTGTTGAAATAATTTATTTCAACAACTTTACTTTGTATCTTCAACCTTTCAACATGAATTCACAGATTAATGTGAATTATTTTTCTGTTGATGTGAATACAAATATCACTTATGGTTACCAACAATATAGGAAGTTCTTTGCCTGATGAGATCATGACAGCCATCATATATTGCAAAAGGTGCCGGTCAGGTTGAAAACTACCAAATACAGTCAAAAGAAGAGTAACGTAACATTGCTCAAAGTGTGGTAGGGTCTGTGTTGCCACCTGGACCAGCTTCTTTTATCCCTGCCACACATTTCTCTTCACAGATTTTTGAAGCTGAAGTTGAGGAGGACAAAATGGAGTGACTTTTTCCACGCAATACTTCTCTCCCTACTGAACATCTCTTGACTTTTCCTCCTGCCTTACATATGCCTTCCACCCATGGTTTGCTTTGTTCTTCTTAACCTGTTAGTGCCACATCCATCATTTTCTTCAGGTTTAAGTTCGCTCATGCTGATTTATGCCTTGTCTTTCCTGTCTTACCAGGTAACATGTAGATATTATTGTTTAGATATAATTTATTCTTCCTTAACACAACTCATAGGACTCATGGTTCAGACATCCTTTATTATTTCTTAACATGTCCACATATGATATCTCATTTAGAACTATTGTTACTCATTAACTTGTACTACATATACTATAATGTTTAGTCATAGTTCATCTCTCCTTCACATGTCCACATAGATATTGATGATTGGTCATACTTGTTCTTACCATGTAAACATAGATGTTAATGTATAGTTACAGTTTGTTACTCTTTCACATGTAACATAATTTATTACTTCTTCACATATACTTATGATAGTTAATTCTTAGTCTTAACTGATTATACCATGTCAATAAGAAACATGTTACCTTCTGATAAGATGGCTTATTTCCTTACACAGATTAGCTAGAACCCCCCCCCCCCCATTGAGATGGTGGAGGGACTGGTGCAGAAATTACTTAGATCAGCCTCCTTTAAGGAGCACTAAAAGGAAACCCATGGGGTGTGACACCATATGGCAGGGGTTAAATAAGGGCACATCTATGGGAGACTGCATCTCATCTCAATCAGAGTATACTCTTTACCAGAGTGAAGCGAGAAGTCTGAAAAGTGTTGCATGGATGGATGGAATATATACATGAATGTCTAAGAGCTTGCACACAAGCCATTGGAGGGCCAATATATGTAGTAAGGCTGGAGCACATTCAGACTGTACCAAGTGTGTTATCCTCCTTGACCATCAGTTTTTATCTTTACTGCTCAATACCAGTTGTGGGTATTTCCAACAAATACTCACCTCTGTGTACATCCCCCTCCTCCCCCACTTTCCTGGTGCACTTTCATTGGTTGGA